GTGATGAAGTATAAATTCAACTTTATAGCTTTATTTTCATTTAGGGTTTTTCTTGGTGAAATGAGGTGAAACATTTTCTCTCATTTTCTCAAAAGAGGCCGGCCACCTAGGGAAGGAATAGCTAGCAATCTCTTCTTCCCTAAGTCATCCATTTCATCTTCACATCACATCCTTGGTGAAGAGACTTAGAGACATCAAGCTTTTGATGTTTTGGAGAACAAATCCTCAAAGAAACAAAGGAGCACTAAAAGGAGGAAAATCACAAGGAAGATCCAAGAAGCAAGGAGGTGACTTGAAGGCCCTCCACTTGGGTGAATCCCTTGTGTAATCAAGGATGAGCTTCAAGGGTAAAGAAACTCTAAATCTTTCCTTCTCTTTAATGTTGTTAAAGAGTTTATTGGTTCACCATATACTAGGCTTTGAAAGTCATGGGTTTTATGAATTGTTTTTGAATGCATGCCTACTTTAATGTGTTAATAGTTTGCATATGTATTCAAATGTTCTTACTTGTTCTTAGCTAGGGCAAAATTTTCCTTCAGTGTACTCAAGGCACACTCTAGTACTAAGATCACGCGAAGACTGGTGCAGAAGCACGGTTACGTACAAGTCGGATTGCCTAATGCAATCTACCCGACATAACTGCCACCTAACTTAGATCCAAGGCGAGCAAATGGTACGGATGTGAACATACACGTGAAGGACTGGCCCTGGCCCTGGACGGAGTAATAACACCGGGGTGCAGCAAGATGAGCATGTACAAATATGTATGAATGTCATGACAATAGTATCTCAACCATATAGCAGCATTTAACACATTTTATATCATAATATCGAATACTTGGAAATATAAGCGTAAAAGTGAAATAACTATGCATTTAGGGAAACTATCAATATGTATAGGTATAAAATAAACTGCCCACTCACAGATACTTCGCCGTTGACGAGCCACGTAACCTAGCGAAGATGGAAACGCCACTAATAATTGTCCCTAAGCACATAAAGGTATAATTAATAAAACTATATTATAACAATTGAATTTGGGAAAACGGACGTCAAAAACGTATTCAGGACATCAAATTACCCTAAGAAGGGTCCCACTTCAATTTCTAAAAAGTCAACAGGATGAATATTCCATGCATGACAGAATATTCTCAGACGGATGGGATATTCCGTAACGGAATATTTCATCTGGGTTAAGGGTTATTAGGTTAGGTTAGTTTAATAGGTTGGACTTCAGGGTTCTAGGCCTAAAGGCCTAAACTAAAAGGGTTTAGGGTTTAAAATGCATGAGTTTAAAGCTCTAAAAGGAAATGGCCCAAAGGCCTTTAATTAACCAAATAATAATAAATAAAAAATAAAGGGTTAGGTTGGGCTGCCCAGGGTTTTCGGCTTGGCAGGAACGGCCAGAAGGGCCTGGGTTTGGGTTGTTGCTCGTCGGAGCTAAACAGAAGGGAAGGCAGGATTCGGCCAGAAAACTGAACAACCTGTAAACGTTAATAACTTTGTCAATACTCAACGAAATTGAGTGATTCAAAAATGAAAGTTGTAGTTCTTGAATGGATGAAGAGAATGGTACCTTGCAAGATGTCTAACTCGCCGTGATTTGGTCAGAAATCGCCTCGAAAGGTGCGGAGGTCACCAGAAACTGGGTAAGATTCAAATGAGTATAACTTCTTCAATACTCAATGAAATTGGGTGAAACAAAAAGGATAGTTGTAGTACTCAGTGAGACGAAGAGATTGATACCTTGAATGCCAGCCAACTCACCATGGTTTGGCCGAAAATGGGCTCAAAAGGCACAGGTCAAACTTGAACTTCTCGAAACCGAGTTGTTTCACGTCAAAGCTTCCTCAAACCTTGACTAGGGACCCTAGGGAGTTGCGTAGAGGCTTTCTCGAGTCCTAAAACATGGTGACTCCGTTGAAAACACGTCGAACTCAACTCGTCCGAGTTTGGACCTTCCGAGTTGGCGTGTCAAAACTCGTCCGTTCTCAGTTTGGTTGGCATGGTTGTGTTCATGGAGGTAAGGTGAACACAATGGTAAGGTTTTTAAGCTCGAACAATGAAGATTTGAGGTTGGTCTTCCTTGTTGCAGAGAAAAGAGAGTTTTGAAAGGGAGAGAGAAATAAAGAAGAGAGAGAGAGAGAGAACCTTCTAATTTCTGATTGGGTGCAAGGTTGAGGGAAAACAATTTGATTGGTGATGAGGAAAAGAAGGAAGAAGCAAAAGTTTGATGGTTGATGGGTGTGAAAGAAGGGACCGGATCCCTTTTAGGGATTGGATGGATTTGTACAACTTTTAATGTACAAATATGTCCTTTTGACAATGTTTCGACACCGTAAACTCGTACGCACGGGTACAAAATTACCCATGACTAACGTACTTTAATGGAGTGTAACTTTTTCGTTACATATCTGATTCAAGTCTAACACGCTCTCACATGTTCGTAGCGACGAGCACTATGAGGGTACGCTAAAAAAATAAGTCATACATTTCTCTAGGCGATGGTCAACGGAAGTCAAAGTCCTTGTCTTTAGGGCACTTTCGTAAATTCATGCTTTTAAAATTAATAACAAATATAAAATTAGGGACGGGTCGTCACACATTAGGTCTCACGCTTACCAACTATTATTGTGACGGCTTAAGAAACTCTATACATGGTAGAAGATTTTTTCAACCAAACTTAAGACAAAGGACAAGGGTACTTCATATATCGGTCCTTCATCTAAATTTAATTTGTAAAAAATAAATTTAAAAAAAACAATTTTTCTTCAAACAATACATAATATTAATGGCATGAAAAATGAATAATTAAAACTGAAAAATAGAATGTTTAACTGTTCTAAAAATCAAATCTAACAACTAAAATAGTCGTGACAATAAGAGCTATGTAGCATTGAAATCTCAAATGAATATAACTTATAACATATTCTTGTGTGTGTGTGTGTGTGTGTATGTGTGTGTGTGTGTGTGTGTGTGTATATATATATATATATACAGAGAGCTTAAGGGGAGGGATCCCCATTTTTTGAAAAAAATGGGGATTAGGTGTGGGGCCCACTTCACATCAAATTTCAACGATCCGAACCGTCTATTTTGTTAGTCTCGATTCATAGATTATCCTTGCAAAAATTCAATTCAATCCGAAACCATTTGCCTATTTAATTATCAATATCAAATTTCATATTTTCTTATATAACAAAGTATTCGTTCATTTCCTTGAACCCAATTAGATGTCTTAAACATTTCAAATTTAGCTAATATTTTGCAAGGATGATCTATGAATCGAGACTAACAAAATAGACGGTTCAGATCGTTGAAATTAGATGTGAAGTGGGCCCCACACCTAATCCCCATTTTTTTCAAAAAATGGGGATCCCTCCCCTTAAGCTCTCTGTATATATATATATATATTGTGCTAAATTATACATGAATCAATTTTGTATTAAATACCAAACCGATGGTAGACATCCAATACCAACTACTTGGAAATCAACATAGCTCATAGGCCCACCCAAATTTTGAACTTCACAAAAGTATGTGGTTTTGGACTTTTGGAAGTTGGCTTCTTGGTTGTAAGATTCGTCATTAGAGATAATACAGAGATAGATAGCTCCCTCTTGTGTTGTCCTTTAATTTTGGCTTGTGGGTAAACAACCAGCCAAAGGACGCAAGCCAGTCACACTCATTCAATAATTTTTCATTGCATAATTTAGATGAATTTATCACTTGGGTTGTTTATTGGACCCCTCACAATTTAAATTCGATGCGGATTGTTGTCTCTTTTCTTTGCAATGTATTGTGTTACGTAATAAGATAAACGCATAATTGTATTGAGTTGATTCACTTTAAACCTTTATTTTTTTTTTTTTTAAAACCTTGAGCAATTACACTAAGGACTCCTTTGAAATCGGGGTTCTCCTAGAGCCAGATCCTTTCTGCGCAACTCAAGCAGTCCTTTCCCATCTTCGAATTTTCGACAAAATGTCACACTGAAACATTTACATGTTGTGTATGTCTAAAAACATTTTGCACGCTCCCTCAAAATAATTTTTCCTATATACGCCACTGGTGATGGCAAGAGGTTGTTAAGTCTATGATGGTTAATACTGCTCATCAACTTTGCCTCCAAGAAATGTCTCTCAATATCAGATACGTTTGTTTTTTCCTTGTCTTATATGCCAATATTATATATATATATATATATGTATTACTCAAATGAGTACATGTGATTCAAGGCTTTAGGGATTTCGCTTCCAATTTAATAAGAACTTTTGAGCTGTGTGTTGGACCCAATCTTTCAAAATCTTAAATACAAGAGTTTCATCTTAAACTTTATACTCCCAAGAAATTCCCACGGGGCATCATCCATGCATGTGGGTTATTATACATATCAACAAGTACTCTAGATTTTAAATATAGACATATGATGAGAGAGGAATTGAATTGAATTGAATATGTTAAGTTATAGGTCTAGATTGTGAATGAAAAATGCATGGACACAATATTTTACTTAATTGTTAATTTGAATCAAGGGCCGAGCCACGGTTAGAGCATCTCAATACAAATACTCAAGCTCTATGTGTGGGTTCAAATATTAGGCAAAACATCTTCAATATTGAGACTTAAAATTCGTATATGAGTTTTGAGCCAAAGTAATACTTCTTGGAATTATAATTGCGCATCTTCGCTGTTGGGATGTGACTCAGTCTGACAGACTCATGATCTTTGGTGAAGGGAAGAATGGGGTTGATTCAAGAGTGTGATTGAATCTAAATAAAACTGTCTACATATCTTCAAAGTGTAGAATTAAATTACTAATGTAATTCTAAGAAAGAATGGCATGATGTGTGCTATATCATGAAGATTGAAAACCAATATTTCAGACATGACGTGTAATATTGAAAACCAATTAGCGAGATTTCATATGGCCACTGGTCTACTGTCTCCAAATTTATGTCTCCTTTGTGTCTCCTCTCTATCTTTTTGACATGTGTACAACTCCTTAACTTAAAATTAACACTGCTAACTTTTATCAAATTAAAAAACAAATACAATAAAAAGAAAAAACAAAGGACCTAGCAGATGTCGAAGTCCACGCAAGATAACTTCGCGCAGCCGTCACCGGCGGTAACCCCACTCGGACCACTCCTGCTCATTGCCGCCAAAGCCTCCCCTCGAATCCTCCCCCTCTCTCTCTCTTGCTCCAGGATTCAGAGATCCATCTTCCCTACTGAATATCCACAACCAAATCAAACTTCTGTCAGCATATTTTTCTAGGTCGAATCTATTGATAATTTTTCATAAGAATAATCTCAGATTGGGGAAGAATCTGGGTTTTGTTGAAAATCCCAATAGAATATCTTCTATGAAAATTCTAACAAATCTTGAAAATAATTAAAGAAATTGGGGATGGTAGGCTATGATGGTTATATATGAAAGTGAACCCACCGAGTGGGGAAAGGAAACCCCAAAAATAAAAATAATAATCAGTGGAGTGGGTTCACCGGAGAGAGAAAGAGTAAAAGAGTCTTCGTCGGCGGTGAGGAGAAGCGTCGCCGACGACGATGGGGTGGTGTGGTTCTGTGAGTGGCCCTCGGGCTAAGTTTGACTGCTGTTGGCTTTTGGTTTTCTTTAATTATCAGTTTTTATTTTTTATTTTTAATTCTTCTTTTAAAAGGTTAACACTGTTAAGTTTAGCGTTAAGTTGATGACAGATGTCAAAATTTTTAAAATGAGACACATAAGAGACACTAAATATGGAGACAGCACACCTGTGTCCATTTCATATAAGATTGAATTGTCTAAAAAATAAAACTTCAACTTTTAAGATTTTTATTGAAACAAAAATTAAATTTCTAGCAACCACGGAACACGCTATAATCCCTGCTATTTAAGATTTTTATTGAGGTTGTTCTGCCGGATAAAGCAACCACGGAACACGCTGTAATCCCTACTATTGAAGCCTTAAACAAAAAGGACATTTTTTATCGCAAGGCTTCTGTCAGTCAATACGACGTCGAATCAGACCATCGCTTAACGGGTTGGGTACCAAACCTAAAAACAAATTGTTAACGGGTGAAACGAGTGACCCGTTAGCTTAACAGGTTGAGTTTGGATGACCTGTTAAATTAACGAGTCAGGTTGAACCCGACCCAAACTCAATAAACCCGACCTGTTTACAGGTCTAGTTATGATCTAGTGTGGTGCGCCCAGCTAGATCATCTTCATCTTTACTCCTCTTGTCAAATATATGTATGCTTCTTTGGACCCAAATTTACTTTATCGGCTCATGCAATCAAGGCCATTGAGTGAGCATAACTCCCAACCATCATATGGAAAGTGAAGATAGTTTTGTTATTGTTAAAGGATAATATTATGGTTTTTATCATAATAATTATCTTTTAATATGAATTATCTTGGCATATTCTTAAGCTGAATGGATGAGATGCAATAATTTCCAAGCAAGCAATACAGTTCAAATGGACTTGGGATTCTTGTTATCGGATTGGAGCAGCATGGTACATTAAGATGAGTTTTGAATAGTCAGGATGCTTGATTTTGGGATAATGATGAAGTCACGATGTGAGGAGATAAGGAACCTAGTTAGGCTAGGCCTTTTGTCATGGTGATGGATTTGTTAGATGAGTTTAAAGGCTACTGATGAAGTTTTAATGATGAGATAAGAAGCCTAGGTGGGCTAGGCTTCTGATGAGATGTGATAAACCTAGATATGCTTTTATTTTGTTTGAAAAGTCACGAACAGTAATTTGAAGGATATGCCTTGGCCTTTGACACAGATCAATTTCAGTTCCGCGAGTTAGAGTTCCAGTTTGACTCTATAAAATTATCTGGCCATGCCGAGAAAAAAGTATGGATGCTATAAATACATAGTCGCAGGCAACATTTCAAGCCCCTCTAAATCAACACACAAATTGCCTTGCCTAAAGCTTCTCACTAACCCTGAGAATTTTATCCTTCTCCCCTTTCTTCCCGCCAACACATCTTCAATTTGGATAAATAGCACTATGAAGGCAACCAGAGACATCTTTAGTTTGGATAAACAACACTGGAGCTGTAGAATCAGCCGACCGAGGAGCACCTTCAGTTTGGATTGGCAGCACTGCTTTGAGACCGACTGGTTATTTATCCAAGTCTCGGTTAACAAGGATTTTCGAGTCCTTATTGGTAAAGGTCATCTCATTAGCCTTATCGACGAATTGAGGTGTGACCAGGTTACTAATTAGGAGTTTTTTTTTTCTTTTTCTTTGAACAAAATGGAAATAGGGAGTTGAGATTTTAGGCACCATCCTAAAATTTTGGCAACACCCCAAATTTTAATCTCCCACCTCCTCTAAATGTTTTCAATTATGACACACCCCGACCGAGATCAAGACATGCTAGCCATCACGTGAGAGTGAAGTAGCTATGTGCACAGTGCGGAAGCAATAAAGATAAGAGTTATACGAATAATTAAAAACCAAATTACTAGAGTGCACTACTAAACAGGAAGTGATAGGAGTTAGTTACAACAGTAAACACTCCTAATCAAAGCATATTAAGTCTAGGTGCAGTCCAGTAGGACAAGTGCTAGTTACACAGTACCAGGAATGTCTTACTATTATTTAGATAGGTCAGAATTGCCGACGTCCTCAAGCCACCAACAACAAGCTTACTTAAAACCTGGAGGTGCGCAAAACATAAAACATGAGTAGGCAAAGACAAATGTTTTACAAAACCATTTCATTTATCAACATATCTAACCCCTCTCTGTAAAACATGTATAATTTTTCCCAGAATCAAGATATAAGCATATACATAAATATATATGAAATCATAACAATTCAATTCAATTCAAATAATCATTTTCATATATATGCCATGCCAAGATATAATAGAATAAGCAATTCAGGTAAGAATAATTTCATAGAAATATAACATGTGAGCCAGAACCTCTATGGTAGTCTATATGGCTGAATTCATAGCTCAAAAGTCACTCTAGCTGGAGTCACTACTATGACCTATACGGCAATATATTGCACAACAGTCGGAACCAAACAAAAAGGTCTATACAACAATAATGGGTGTAATATAATCATGCTCAATACTACTCTCACATAATAGCTGGATGATAAATCGCTAGTCACCTATGAGTTGGAACCATAAATAAGGTCTGTACGACAAGACTGTGCACCTAAATTGGATCCAATATGAGCATATGGTGCAGGAGGTGATGAAGGAAATTTTGTGAAAAACATGTTCATTTGAGCAACATTTATGGCATGCAATTAACAATTAAAGGCGGAATCATACTTGTAGGCACTCAAAAACAAAACATTACCCATGAAATTCAAAGCCTAGCAGAAGGGTGAACCAAGACTGAACTCAAGAACAAAGTGAGTGGAGACATCTTATACCTTTGTTGATTCCTCTTTGCATAAGCAAAGACTAATCACCCAAGGAGAGGGTCTTCATTCCTTGCTTCTTAGCTCCATGGATTTCTTGGATGAGGATGGTTCAAAGGATTCTCCAAGTTCCCAAAGTTGAGAACCTCTAATTTTTCCACACCAAGGAGAGACTCGAAGAAGAGATGAGTGACCTTGGAGGAGGGAAGATTGCTAGCTAATCTCCTCCAAGGGGGCCGGCCTCCTAGAGAGAAAGGGAGAGACATTTTGTTCTCATCTTTTCTCCAAAAGAAACCTAATGAAGAAAAGGCTATAAAGTCATATTTATACCTACCTTCATTGGAGTGGCTAACTTGTAATAAGTCCAAAATCGACTCCTTTATCAATATGGCCAGCCATAGGGTTTTATTGGGCTGTTTGGGCCTTTGTGAATTATTAGTCATTAAGTTGTCATACAATTTAAGTCAATGGGCTTGACGTTCGAAGCCCATTGGGCCTTGAGACCAAAAATTAACCTGAGGTCTTTAACAAACTTTATTCGTTTGATTAATTAACATATTAATTAATCCTTGCCATAAATAATTAAACCATTTAATTATCCTTACTCATCTTCGTTGTTTCTTAAATCTGTACCTTACACGATGTACGATCCATTAGGTTCCTTTTAGCGAGGCAGTGGGCGATTAGAACTCTTTCAAATCGATTGTGAATTGAAACTTACTTTCAATTCTCCCTTTAGTGATTATACACATTTAGGGCTTCCACAAACCATGAGTGACACCTAGCAGTATGTCATGGTTACCCAAGCTAATCAGAAGAGGTGGAGAACCTATTCAGTTTAGGATTACAATGCAATACGGTCTTTCTCTAATACAATACTCTTGACCACATTGTTTGGTTTGATAGTTTATTCATGTCTATAATCCAATGTGATTCTCTTACTTATATGATTACCTTGAATGTGACTTGGAACGATTTCCTAAATTTCATTCATACTCTGGCCAGAGATTCTTAATCATATCATAGAGTATTCTCCCTCAAACGGTTTAAAGGTTAGAGATCCCTTGTTGCGCATTCACTTGCCTCCATGGCTAAGTGGCTTAACCCCAACTATGTCGTGGACACCCTCTGATGGAGTGACTTTGACATAGTCAAAGATCAAGGACCTAACCACAAGAGAACTATGATGCCTCTGGTCAAAGGACTACTTTGCATTATCCCAACCATGAGTTCTCATGTGACATGAGTATGAGAACTCCTTGTTGATCATGTTCAGTGGACTAATTCTCTATTGAGCACTTACATGCTTGTCTTGGTGTCAGTCACACTAATGACTCGAGACCAGTCACTCTCCCTAAGAAGACATAGCACGTACTGATCTTAACGGACTGTCAATGCCCAATTGGTGATCCTATGATCAAGAACGTTTAGGATATGTATATGAAAGTGAATGGTCTCATGAATCTAACTTCTTTAGATAGCATTCTCCCAATTACATATTCCTTGGACTTATCGTTCAAGCATATAACATTTATATGAGACAGCTTCAAACAATAATCTTTGTCCTTTATATTAAACTATATTAGTTTAACATGTGAAATGTCCGTAAAGTATCATCATATGATTGGTTTTAGGGCACATTTCCAACAGGTGACATAATAAACAGGCATGTGCCATATCTATGGCTAAATCACAATCACCCTAAGTGCAGTTTTATGAGCTCAACATTATTCAATCACATATCATATCATCGATAATTCACATAACCAAACACAACTTACCTGAACTTACCTGAGCGTCCACATCACCACATTTATATGTATAAATTATCACATACCAATTCATGTATGAATTATAAACTTATATGCATGGCATTATGGCATAATATCATTTAAACACATATTTATGGGAAAAATATCAAGTATATAATATAGACTGAAAACTAAAAGCCCACTCACTAGTATATTGAAGGGTCGTAGCCCCCGAGTTGCCCTTGGATACACTCGTCCTCAGGATAAGTCTCACATATATATATGAATTAACTATAAAAGCGTTATTTTAAAGCACATATGCAAAACTAGCTAATAACTTCTCATACATAGCTCAAATTGGGTATATAAATATACCACAGTGATCTACACAACCTCAGGATCATCCACAAATTTTTAGATTAATTTTTGGACCTCTCACGCCCCAGCGAGTGCACGGCAAGACGCGCCGCCACGCACAGGGAATCTTGACGGATTCCCTAACT